TTATTGACTGTGGTCTTCTGGAAAAAGCGTGTTGCTTTCGCATGAGTATGGCCGGGTCTCCCGCCCCATTTCAAAGCCTCGGGTGTTGTCTACAAACAGAACAGTTGAACGTGACGCGTCTGTATTCGTTGTTTGTGATTTTCGTCCCACGGAGATGCTCACTGGACAGTTGTTGATGATGTGGCTGCAGGAAGTGGACTTCTGGACTGGGGATAGTGGGAAGACTATTGTCCCATCTCTGTCCCCTCACTTCCATTCTGAATGGGTTTTCTTTTTCAAATCGTTGGGACACTTCTTCATTTGGGACGGGTTTTGTGGTTCTGGCAATGTTTGAAAGTCTACATTGCGTTTTGCTCTTGGCCAGCCGTTTCTTCTTTCCTTGGAATAATTTTGCAAGGTGGAAATGCTTCCATGTGGTGGCAGTTTGTCCCCTCAATTCTGCTTAGAGAGGAAAAATGAATATATGCCCGGCAGCTACTTTGCCTGGGACCCGACGTGAGCTCAGCAAAGGCCTTCCCTCCCTCAGGGTCAGCTGCTCCTCTCTCGGTTTCTTCTACCAAAACCCCATGGCACGTTGTGTATGTTACAGTCTTAGCAGCCAGGCCACACCTCTGAGCATTCTGCGGTTCTCTCTCTAGAAAACTGTTCAACTCATGTGCCATGTACTCAAGTATGTCATTCGTCCAAGTAGGCTGCTGAGAACAGGAAATGAAAACGTGTGCATAAACAGCTAAGGCACAGGGTAAGGGATGGCACGCACGTCAGGCCAGGTGCAGCAGTTAAATGTTACGAGGGTTCACTTGCCTGAGGTTGCTCTTATCTTGGGGGGTCCGGAAATATTTCTTAGTGTGAGCACCTGTCCTCGTGGAATATTAAGGCACAATTTAGCGTCTTTGGCTGGCATTGAACGGTATTCACGGTGAATGTTGCTTAATGAATAGTTTCTTGTGGCATAAAGACGGTCCCTCTGCAGGGGCCCCCCGGGTGGCTCAGTTGGTTGGGCATCTGACTTCGACTCAGGTCATGATCTCGTGGTTTGTGAGTTCGAGCCCCGCGTCGGGCCCTGTGCTGACAGCTCGGAGCCTGGAGCCTGCTTGGGTTCTGTGTCCCCCTCGCTCTCTGCCCCTCCCCCACGTTAAAAAAATTTTTTTTAATAAAATAAAATACTGTCCCTGTGCAGGCCCAGGAGGCGGCGCGGTCTGGATGAACTGCCTGTCCCGCTGCAAGGCCTGTCTCCACCTCGCGGCAGCTTGCCGGGGGCATTAGCAGCACACGATGGCCATAAAACACAAAGCAAGTTTCATCAGAGATGCCACCCTCTCCATTTATTTTTATTTTTATTTTTATTTTTATTTTTATTTTTATTTTTATTTTT